TCTCCTCCCCTCACCACCTACAACCAGCAGCTATGGCTCACCTGTGTGATGCAGGCTGAACACAGCAACAGTACGTTTCTATGAGACACCTCAAATAGCTTTCTCTCTTATTTTTTGTAAACATTCTTGGCTTTGGTTAATAACGTGTTTTTAATGCCGTCTGTGTCAGTGGGAGACTTCCAGCAGCCGATCGTGATCAATGTTGATCTGAAGGGAGTGATGCAGGACGCCAGCGTGATGCACATCAAAAACGTGCGGCAGAAATCACGAACGCTTCACTGCGGGGCAGTAAGTTTCAATCCGCAACCCAGCCACCTTCCTCTCTTGCAGGATGCTGAATTGTCATTAATCACATAGTCAGGCAGCAGCAACCAGCGCAGCACTGAGAGTTTATGAAATGTCTTTTACGTCATGAAATTAGATTGCAGTGTAGCGATCGATGAGTGCAGAGCGTCAGATAGACAGATAGTGACGTCCTCAGAGCAGGTCAGTGATTTACAGTGCAGTTTTATTTTTTCTGTTTTATAGCGCAGCAAACACGAGGTCTTTCAGTTCCTTTCCACAACACTGGTCCTCTTTAGATTGTCCAGTGGCTCTTAATTAAGTAACACTATGTATATACAAAAATATATAGAAATTAAAAATCAACGTCCGACTTCATCCGATCATACAGTCACTGTAAAGCGAGGCTTACTAGGCCTCCATCCTGCTTCTAGCAGAGGAGCATATCAATCATCTCCACATTCACTCCGTTGACCCAGCATACTTTCTAGCTCTACGTGTTCAATATAATTAATAAAAGCAACCCATACTTTTAAAAAATAGTTTTCCCTTAATAGAATTTTTTTTTTTTTCTAAGGATAGACATGCAGACAGTGCCTTTAAACATTTACCAATACTTGGACTGTGTACATTTTTCCATGGTAATGCTGTCATCCGTTTGGCCTCTAACAAAGAAAATAAAGATTTTCTCTTTCTTCCTTATATTATGTTCTTTTGGATGACAACCTAAAAAGAAAAGCTTGGGCTCCATAGTTAACCTCACACATTTCTTCCAGCAAAAGTCTCTCTAACTCTGTGAGTTTATAGTAGTAGTAGTCTGTTGAGTTTGAATTCAGTTTGATCGTCGACTGAACCGACGTCGTTGTTTCTTCCTTACAGAAATGTGATGAGATCATTGTGCTCCATCTGGGCTACCTGAACTACACCCAGTACCAGGTCATGGTCAGCTTCAAAGGCCTTGAAAATATCACATATGAAATCAAGGTCAAGTTTGTGGTAAGAGACATTTTTCTTCTAGCTCATGAAACAAACTTTGCCTTTTTATGTTGCTGCATTTGATTATTATTATTATTTTATTTAAATATCTTGAGCTCACAGGTCAATCACAGACTTTTTACTCTTTTGTTCTCTTCTTCCTTAGTGGAAAACGTACAACCCCACCTTCTCGCAAGTGGAGATCTGGTTCCGGTTCGTCTTTGTGGTGTTGACCTTTATGGTGACGGTAAGGAACACAGATTCATTTTCTACAACTTAATCTCACTGAATTTCATGTTACTGGTATTCCAATCTGACAAAAACCTTTTACCAGGACTAATGTTTTATGTTTGTTCAGTGTTTGTTTGCACACTCACTGAGGAAGTTCTCCATGAGGGATTGGGGCATAGAACAGAAGTGGATGTCTATCCTGCTCCCTCTGCTGCTTCTCTACAATGGTCAGATTGAGTATTATCTCTCCTCAAGTCATATTTTACTCTTATTTACCCATCAGCTAAAGGCCATTATTTCAATGTATGTGTGTTTTGTTGCTTTTGCTGTTCAGATCCTTTCTTCCCGCTGTCATTCCTCGTGAACAGCTGGTTTCCAGGAACGTTGGACGCTTTCTTTCAGGCTCTGTTCCTGTGCGCCCTGCTGCTCTTCTGGCTCTGTGTTTATCATGGCATCAGAGTCCAGGTGGGTCCACTACTGTATCTAAACTTCAGTGGCTCTGTCTCATGTTTACCTTATTGAGAATCTTATTGAATGTGTTTTTATGTTTTTTTTTTTACGCAGGGTGAGAGGAAATGTCTGACGTTCTACCTGCCTAAGCTGATCATTGTAGGACTTCTGTGGCTCTCAGCAGTTACGCTGGGCATATGGCAAACGTAAGTCTGACCTCACTGCCTACTAGCAGCCTGATTTTAAACTCTGAATTACAACAGGAGTAAAAAGATCTTCTCTCCTTTTCTGAACTTGCAGGGTTAATGAACTCCAAGACCCTACCTATCAGTATAAAGTGGACATAGTGAACTTTCAGGTGAGACCTTTCATGGAACTTTAAACTTTGTTGTAAAAGTACAGACTTGGTGTTTATGTCTTCGCTTGCCCAATGTTTAATAAAGTCCAATGTTATTTCTCCAGGGCATGAAGATCTTCTTCCTGATTGTAGTGGCCCTCTACATCCTCTACCTGATCTTCCTGGTTGTCAGAGCTTGTTCTGAACTCAAGAACATGCCTTACTCAGGTATCACAGCACAGCACGCCTCTGTATGTCAGTTCCTTTTACTCTGATAACACTAACATGCTCCGTGTTTTCAATCACTAGATCTGCGGCTCAGGTTTTTGACAGCCCTGACGTTTGTGGTCCTTGTTATCAGGTGTGTTTTAAAGGAAAATACAAAAACATCTGTCGATCAAGCCCTTTGTGGTTAATTTGGTTTTAATTTGATAATCCTGATGTTCTTGTTGCTCTTTCTCCTCCAGCATGGTCATTCTCTACCTGAGGTTTGGCTCCAAGGCTCTCCAAGAGAATTTTGTTGCTGAACTGTCTACGCATTACCAAAACTATATCCTTTTTAAAACAATATTTTAATTTCGATCATGATTTCACTTAAAGGACCCGTGTGTTGGTAGGATTTAGTGGCATCTAGCTTATACCGTTCGCCTTCCAAGTGTGTAGGAGGAACAACAAAGGCTTCATCTAGAGCCAGAGTTTGGTTTGTCCTTTCTGGGCTACTGTAGAAGCACAGTAGCTCATTCCAAGGTAACAAAAACACAAGGATTTTTATTTTAATACACTGATGAAAACATACTTAAGAGTATCGTATATCATCTATGCCGATAGATCCTCCCAAATGTTACACACAGGACCTTTTTTTAAATGAAATGTTCAAAACATGTTGTCTTTAATTATGTGAGAAATGATTCCTTAACTCGAAACGTACCAGCTGAATTTTTATCATTCTATGGCCTGCTCAACTTTTACTTGTACACATTGGCGTTTGTGTATTCCCCCTCCAAAAATGCCCTTTATGGTAGGTAATGCAGCACAGCTCCAATGCAGCAGATAATGAACTGATTTATCAACCTAACAAGGTTTTGTTTAATTCCCCCAGACTCCCAGCTGAAGGATAATCCTGCTTTCTCCATGCTGAATGACTCAGATGATGAAGTAATATACGGGTAAGTGTTTAGTTGACTTAATTGCTTTTTAGTGAATTCTTACAGAGGAGGTATTCAGCGTGAACTTTACATAAACCAACTGATGTTCTTTGTCTTTTTTAAAGGAGTGATTACGAAGACATGCCTTTACAAAACGGACGCGCTATCAAAGCTACCGCCAAGTACCAGGATGAGAGTGACAGCGACTAATGGGATCTCTGTGTCCCTGTTGGACACTATGAGAACACAGTACAACAAACTATCATGTGTGGTTGTAAATAAGGATTGCTCGCATTGGTACTACGCAAATTATATACTGTAAGTGTACATAAATCTATTTTTAAAAAAAGGAGAAGTTCCATGTCGACTGAATGTACTGTACTTTTATTGAGAGTTTGGGCATGTGGACACTTTTTCTTCATTGTTTATGTCTCATTCAGAAACAAAGAAAACAAAACTAGACCATTTTTACCAGTTTATCCACATTTTTTCCTCACAACCAGCATTAACCGGGAATGTTTTTTTGTAAAATTAATGTTATAATTAATGCTTTGTGTTGAACCACTGTTGTCTCTCTGTACGTGCACTTTGTTGTTTTTTGCCATTCCTTTCTGCTCTCTGACAGTCGAAGATGAATAGGAGAACACTAATATCTGGCCAAAGCTGAGTAACATTAAACTGGTGGTAGAGATTTAAGGAAACTTGTGCTGCAGAAGCCGTAAGTGCGCTCTTAACGCTGCATTGTGACTCGCCAGCACTAACGGGATTGATGAACGGGGGATTTTAAGTGCCATAGCAGTGTTGGCTGTTGACTTATAATACTAATAATTCTCTTTTGTCTTCAGACATGTTTAAGAAAATACAGACAAGAGCCTTAACTGGAGTGGGTACCACTGATTTCTTACCAATTCTTCCATTGGAAAGAAGCTTTGTCATTGCACTTGTTGAAGAATTGTATTTATTTTGCCGAAAAGTAACGACATTTGATACTGTATTATCCGACTACCTGGATTGATTGATTTTGATAAACTGCATGGATTTTACACTACTTTATGTAAATGTGCTACTGATCTATCATATTGAACATTTCTCATCCCAGCACATACAGTAGTTATACCATCAGCCAAATATATTTTTGCCTTATCTAGAACGTATTATTTTAAGTAATTGTTTTTTCTCCTGTATTTTTCCTTATATTGCCTACAGTGTGAGACTGGTTGCCCCTTACTGTTGTTTTATCAAACTGGAGCTTATGGACAAAAAAAACACCCAAAACAAATACGCTTCTGTTCTTTACAAATAATATCGCGACCTGTATTCTAATTAAGATGGTGCCTTGTTGTTACATCACTCTCTTTTCTTCTAAATGGGCTCCAGTCTCAAATTTGTAAATGCTTTGATATAAATGTACATTTCCGATTCTTTCAGTGTGAATGTAGCTTATGATCTTTTACGGTGGTTAAATGAGGTTGTTGTGGGTATTGATATGTTGGAAGTTTTTGTTGCTTTATGAGATAAAAGCTGTACATGTAGCATTTTGTCATGTCACATGTAAATAAAGCAAAGTATATACAGCAAGGTATTATTCTGATCAGTTGCACTTAAAAAAAACATTTTTATTCAAATATAGTCAAACATAACAAGCTGGTTCTCAAAAATACACATTTCAAATACTTGAGGTACATTGTAGTTGGTTTAAATGGACAGCCCGAAAACGTTGACGATACAGTACATGGACTTGTTCTCCCATCTCACTGCACAGCTTCCTGTTGGGTGTAATACACAATTAATTCTGTGACATTTGCACATTTAAAGTTAGTGACAGAACACTAAAAAACTAGGCTGCAGCATTTTTAAGACAGCTACCTTGCTCAAGGGCACACTGACCGTTGCTGACACACTGCTTATCAAATTCACATATCTACCGCTTACTTTGTTTATCACTTCACAAGATTGTTACTGTTGAAAACATAACTTAAGAGCACATTTTAGATCATTTAAAAGCTGCACATTTAACAGAGAGGCGTTTACCATCAGTAGTGTTGTCCCAGAAACATGCGCTGGCTGTTTGCAGACCTGCTCCATTTTTCTGCATGATGATACAGGTCACTGTGGGAAAACCAAAAATACACATTTATCATTTAATACCAACTTTCAGAGCCCAAACCCATCAGAATATTACTGTTTTACTTCTTAATGTCACTGGTACTACAGATGCGCATATACCAATATATTTGAAAGGCTTCCCCAGCTTGCTGAGTTGACTGAGGCACTGCTCCACTACACTGGTGGTCCACTGGTTCACTCTGCTGTGCTGGTAGGCATTTCCTCCTATGGCTGCTTCTACTGACTACACAGACAATTTAAACAAAGAGGTGATTAATTAGGAGCTGATCAACACACACAGAACTATACATTTAAATAGCCTTACAGTAACTCTGTGATGCAGCTGGTAATATTATAATAATATTATTCTATACTATTGAATCCATGACTTTGCAATCTGAATTATATAATACAACATATAATTAACAACATAAAATATGAAACTGTACTTAAAGGGGTTATAGTTTATCTGTGCGCGTTGCCTAGCAACCGCTACAGTGTCCTTAGCAACCAGCAGGCTAAACACAAAGTTGAGCCGGTGACATATTATTAAGTTTGTGGATGCACAGAAAAAGCATTAAGGCTGCCGTTTGCTCACCTCTTTAATGATTTTACTCACTTCTTCAACGACGAACGCAGTCTGGCGAAAAAAAAACAAAACAGTGCATTTTTAAGATATCCAGCCAACATGGCGTGTTCGCCTCCGGCCGAACGGTTATTAACGCTTCAATGTCAGTTACAAGATAATAATATTGATTTAGCGGTAATATCTGATTGTTGTTGTTTTTCTTTGTGTGATAAGAATACATGTAGTTTCAAGTATCAACCCACCTCGTCCTCTGTTTGATACTCGTCCATTGCTGCTGCCTCATCCGGTGTCAACTGAACCGGGTTACCCAGCAACAAGAAGACTTCCGGTTGTATTTCTTCAGAATAAAAGTGTCGTCTTTCCTGATCCACAGAACTCTTGAACCGACTCACTTGTGTTTTAGACATTAGGTGGCATCGAGTTCTTGCTAAAATGTGATTTTGTAATATCTAAACTGCCTGTTAAACTCTCTGCCTTCCACCAACAAGTGCTTTCACACTGGAAAATGATTTATACGCTTAATTTCACTCCCCACAACGTCCCACTGTGGAACAACAGAGTTATCCTAAACAGAAGAAAATCTATATTTATGGAAAACTGGATGAGGAATCAAATCTGGTCAATCATGCATCTGATGGATAGAAATGGAAATATAATGAAACTAGACGACTTTACTGAGATTGTTCTGTTAAAGATTATGTCAAGGTTATACAAAACATTCCGACAGTACTCATTCAGATGATCAAGAATAATCTAGACAACACCCCAACCCCAAAATTACAAAATATAATGATAGACGATGTATACGGCAATAATTTATTTCTGAGGCAGTCCTTGGTAAACACGATGTATGGATGTACAAGGACACATATTCTCCAGAGTTATAAGAAAACTGAAATTAAGGCTATTAGAACAAAATTCTTGAAATTTCCAATCCCCGCCTAAACATAAAGAAATACATTTTAAAACTATAAATGAGATTTACCCATTGAATGAATTCATTAGAGCAAGATTTAAATTTGAAGTGGATAATTGTTATTTATTACAACACAAATGTAGAAACCACAGAACACTTATTTTACAATTGTGACACGATTCAAATCCTAAGGAAATCCCTACATGAGTGGCTGATATCAAAATCCATAAATGTAGATTTTCTTTCTCCAGTTGGGAGTAATATTAAAAAATAAAAACACTGAATACCTAATTAACAACATAATACTTTTGAACAAACATACATAAATGTCGACTGTCTAGATCTCCTCCAGTGTGGAGTGCTTGGAAGAATGATTTCTCTTTACTTATTAAATGTATAAAGAAGGTACAAAACGCCCAGAAACTTTACACTCTTATGTTAGAACACAACTTAATTTAATATTGTATACTCTTCTTTTGTTTTACTTATTTTATTTTATTTAATTCTATGATATAAATCTGATGTATTTGTACTTGTTGTAAATGTTAAACAGGATTTCATAAGGAGGTATGAACAAGCTTTTGAATATAATAACTGTTATATACCATGAGTTTCTCACTGTAACTTGTTCTTGATACAAGTTACAATAAAGCATTTTTAAAAAAAAACAAAAAACAAATTCTTGAACCGACTGAAAAAAAAACACATTTTGTTTGACAGAGAAATAAAATAACTCTGTGAGCTAAATGTACTTGTAGTAAGCGATTGTTTACCAAATTCTTCCAAGATAAAAACAAATAAAAATCACTATAAAGCGCCATGAAACTACCAGAACTAATTAAAAACTGTCAAACTACCGCCCCCTGCTGGTAGTTTGTAGGTTTCAGTGACTGCTAGCTCTCACACTAACGACGACGACAACAACAACAGGTCGGTTAACGCTTAACAAAAACCGTCTTATATTGTTATTCCTCTCGGTCTGTTGGCGTTATGTCTTATATTCAAGGTAATAATAATAATTAATACGGTTTATTCGCTGTTATTTAGTATTGTATTGTGTTACAGTTAGCCTCAGTGCTACCTAACTGAAGCTATCGAAGGGCAGTTAATTGGGCCGTTAATTAACCGTTATACAACGTTAGGAAACTCCGGTAACGTTAGGTGAGTGTTAGTAGATATTCACTCATATTACTTTGTGACATTGCTGTAAGCTTACTACTCTAAATATAAAACGTCGAAAAATAACATTGCTGTTTAATTGTTGTTAACGTTTTAGTGCAGTTGTGAAGTTCACGTTGAACTTCGAGGACGGATTCAGTTGTAATGTGTTTCAGGTCTACTCTCACAATTAGAGGTTAGTTAGTTTTTAAAATCCGTATACCGGTTTTTAAGACGTTTTTAACTTATTCACCAAGTTTTTTTTTTTTTAATATCAGCTTCGAATAGACATAATGTTATTGTCATTACACTGACTTTTATTTTGAAAACATAAGAAAGACCGGAAGTTGAAACAGTTATCAATATATAAATTATTTAATCGTAACTTAGTGTACCTCGCTCGCTTTGTAAAAATGTTTTGACTGATGTTACACTTCTCATTGGTTTTAAATTACAACAATTAAAATGTATACTGCAGTTAAAATACTTAATGGCTTTCTTATGGAGTGGTTGAAGAGTGCAGCTTCCTTCACCAGAGCTCAGTCTGTCTTTGTGAAAGCGTTGTGTAACGTTAGTTTCTCCTTTATTTTTACACACAAACACATTATCACAAGTGCGTGTAGTAAATCTCAATCGTATAGTGTAACTGAACAAACAACCCTACTGCTGTTAAAGCTACAATGTGGGTTTTATGCTGCTCGTTCGTAGGGATCTCTCATTGGTCAGCAGCTGATCAGGTGACCAGAAAATAGCGTTGATCCGTGTTTACTTTCTCGATATTCTGTAACTAAAATGTGCGATCTTGTGTTCTTTTGGTGGCCGATGCGCCACAAAACGTCAAACTACACTTTTTATACGTTGCTGGTTTGTTTTATTGAAATAATGTGGCACCATGACTGAGAGTCACAGTGCAGGGAATCACTCCCCCACCTCGCTGTCTGTCCTGTATCGCTTCTCGGCCTTTTGGCTAAGATCAAGTGTAGTATCTGTTCTTATCAGTTTAATATCTGATACGTCCCCTACCCGGGGACCATATATTAAATTGATTTTTGGAACTGGGAGATGGAATAGGGGCTTGCTCCGTCCACTCCACGCATCGACCTGGTATTGCAGTACCTCCAGGAACGGTGCACCCCCCCTCTCATTGTGAAAGTTAAACTGGATGGTATCAGAAGAGGATGCATGCTTTAAATGCAGTCACAGAGGTTTTCACTGTGGTCTTAAGCTGCAGCGTTTATGCTCCTTGTTTTATGAGCTAGACGTTATTCAACAAGGGAATATATCCGTTTATTAAGTCCTTACACTGAATCTAGTTCTGCTCATTTCACAAAGGTAGGGATGCACAATATGATTTTTTTTCTTCCAGCCATTACGATAGCTGCTTCTCATGGCAGATACCGATAAGATAACCAATAATTTCACAGATTTGTGTTTTAAAACGAAGTGAATAACCTGTAGTTTATGCACACCTGATGGTAAGAAAGGCTGAGATGTTGTGATCAAAGGTGGATGATTTTATATTCCAACTGACATCACTATTGTTAAGACAACAAAAACAAACATTTGTTGTTCATTCATTCTTTTATTTTTTCTAGTAAAGTGCATCAAAATCTTCCCAAACATATTTTGGCTTTCGTAGAACATAAATCCGATCAATTGTTTGGCATAATACCTCAAAATCAATTATTAGTATTATGGAGCAATAATTTATCAGCTGTAATTTAATTATCAGGATAGATAATAATGATTAATTTATCTGAAAATCTTGACAACATATGTCTATGTGCACTGTATTTAAATTATGTTTTCTTGTCAGTCAAAAAGTAAAACCACCGCAGTCTAATACAATAGACTACACAATAAATCATCCTATAATGTTCAGTTTTTGTTGAGAACAGTCGTAGAGAGGTGTTGATTAAACTGCATAATACACATTGTGATGATGTTCATATTGGAGGCTGCAGTTTATGGTCCTGTTGAACTTTATTGCATTAAACTAAACAGTGTGTTCAAATCTTGCTTTGCAGAAAAACCAACGTTGTTCACACTCCAGAGCAATAGGTGGCAGTAGCAGGAATGCCCATCAGCAGTAAACAAAGAAACAGGAGGTAAGTGTAACGTTGAGGAACCGTGAGGGAAACGTCGTCATTTTTGTGATTTTATTCTCTATTTAATTCTTTATTCTATTTTAAAAGTGGATCAAAACAACCTTTGATTTCAGTACGATTTGGCTTTGGCTCTGTTACTCATTTTTTGAAGGTAAAATTCATACTTTTTTTTTTTTAGATCAGCTTTCCATGTGGGACTACCGCACTGCATGATGGGAAATAAAACCATTATTTATCAACTAAAATGTTAATAATCCGCCTTACCATAATTTTGTTTTTATCTGTATTAAATATCTGCAGATTCACACGCACTTCTTATAGCCTCTGGTTTTGGTCATTTATAGCTTGTGATCACCATAAGCCAACAGTGTATGTCTCTGAATGACTCCCCCGTCTCTGAGCTGTACAACTCATACTTACCTGGCAGGGGAGATACCATGATCAAGAAGGTGGTTCACCCAGGGCGAGGCTCAGCCATTGCACTCCGGTTGTGCTGACCCCTGCGAATTCCCCAAATGTGGGAATCTCGACTGCATAATTTCTGGTAGTGGGGGACTGCGTTCGCGCTCTCCCCTGATTAACATGTGAAATGACAATTCTGAGGAAGTCTTGACTTTATGTAAGTCACTTTTAGCTGCTGATCAGTACAATGTAATGTGTGTGGCACTATTTAAGAAGCAGAAGTTCCTGTGATAATCTTATTTATATACCCTCATTTGTTTGAGAAGAGATGGAAACTTTATCTTATGCTCGCCAACCCCAATACCTGCAAGAAGTGTGGCTCTAGCCCACTTTGATTTTTTTAAAATTTGATTTTACACATTTGCTCAGATCACATCTTGAAATGTTTACTTGAGTACAGTGCAAAGTATCTGACTTACTTATGAGCGGTTGTTTGAGGTTTCAGCCCAAATGCAGTTTTCCTACATAGTTTCATCCACTAGAGGGAGACAGAGCTCAGTCTATCTTTGTGTTAGGGTTTGAGGTTGGTCGAGGCTGGGAAATCCTGGAGGTTGTCGGACTGGCAGGTATTACGGGCCATGTGGAGGGGCCGGCAATCTCGGGGGCTGCTGCAGGTGCAGAGAGGGAGGGCACAGGTCTGGTGATGGTAGAGGTGGCAGTAGTACAGGTGGTGGTTGAGGCTGGGCCCATGAGACAATTGTGTCGGTCCTTCCCTTCAGGATTGTTGTCCCTGCTGTGCTGGGTGTTGGCACATATTCCATCAGGGGGTAGTCTGGTGGAGGGAGGAGCGCTGGCTGGTGTGGTGCTGGAGGTATGGCTACGGATGAGATGGAGGTGGTCTTGCGGATGGTGGATGGTTGTTTTGTGGCATGTAGGTTGAGGAGCTTCTCTTGGCGATGGATGAGCAGCTCCTGTGGAGGTTTGGGGAAGACCACCTTCGTATCCCGATAGCTACGGGCCTCTCTGGTCGCCATCAGTGCAGCCTGTTGGCGATGTGCAGGGGCATCTGGGTTGACGGTCCTCATCTGTGGGGTCGCCATCTTCTGCTGGAGATACTGAAATACACTTAAATACAGCAATGCAACAAAAACAACAACAAAGACAGACGTGTTATTATTATTATTGTTGTTATTATATTATTTAAACCTGAAGAGTACGGTCTAGACCTGCTCAATGTGTAAACTTGAGATGACTTTGTTGTGATTTGGTGCTATACAAATAAAGATTGATTGATTGATTGAGATTGATTATTATTATTATATTATTATTGTTATTATCAATTACTAACATAACAATGAACATTGGTTACAACAGGTCATTGATACACACACACACACACACACACACACACACAATAATTAATATAAATAATAATAAATATTTATTTACTCAGAGACGCTAGGCACTAACGCTAACATTAACGTTATGTCCTGTCTAACGATAAAGACAATGCTCAATATAAATAGTGTTATAATAAATTAATTTATGAGGCGCAGTGAGTAGTGAGTGTAATAACAAATGAATTGATTAATTCAGTCTTACCAATACTGTATGATAGCCAGAGCATCCGAGGAAAAGAGCGTAGACTCTGGGCCAATCAGAAGCCGTAACTGTCTACGGTCAGTCACATGACGCCAGGAGACGATATGATTGGTAGTCTACGGTCAGCATTGACCAACCAGAAGGTGTAAATGTCTACGGTGACTGTAGACTTGACCTCTCGACTGCATAATTTCTGGTAGTGGGGGACTGCGTTCGCGCTTCGTCACTTTTGGCTGCTCTTAAGTTGTTCAAATTCCATTAAAATGAGGGATCAGTACAATGTAATGTGTGTGGCACTATTTAAGAAGCAGAAGTTCCTGTGATAATCTTTTTTATATACCCTCATTTGTTTGAGAAGTGGAAACTCAACTATCCAGCTATGGTCAGTCAGAGGCCTTTATCTTATGCTGGCCAACCCCAATACCTGCAAGAAGTGTGGCTCTACAACCCACCTTGCTGTAAGATATTTGTACTAAAGTGTAGCCCACTATGATTTTTTTATAATTTGATTTTACACATTTGCTCAGATCACATCTTGAAATGTTTACTTGAGCACAGTGCAAAGTATCTGACTTACTTATGAGCGGTTGTTTGAGGTTTCAGCCCAAATGCAGTTTTCCTACATAGTTTCATCCACTAGGGAGACAAAGCTCAGTCTATCTTTGTGAGGAGACTTCTAGGTCAATTTTGTTTTTCATCCACACACAAACCTGTTCAAAATCTCTATCACATAGTTTAACTGAAGGAACAAACAATTCTACCCGCCATTAAATCTATAAATAGGATTTTAGGATACTCCTTTTGTAGTGATTACTTATTATTTTTTTTAAAGGAAGTAATTAGAGCTATCTGGGCCAGCTGCATTTATCTGATTTCACCATTTCAATCACAGACAATTTAACTTTTTTTCTCCTAAGGCTGATTAACATTCAGACAGCATCTTTCTGTGAGACAAAAGTGCTTCTCCACAGGAATTACTGTATTTTTTGGCAGAATGGAGAATTATTTGCATTAGATAATGGGGAGAAAACATTTAAAGAAAACATACTGATAAAGTGATATGTTGGGGTTCAAAGCTGAACAAAATGACTATTAAGATAGAAAAATATCACCATTAGTGCAAAATCCACCAAGAAATAAGCACACCATTGTTTCTTATATCTCTCAATTTCAGTTCTCACATGTTTACTGCTTTTATAAACTCCATAAAAACATGGAGATGTAGAAAGGGCAACTCAATTCAGCAATTTAAACATAAAGAAACAATTAATGAAACATACTTCAACTAATTCATAAAGACAGTTGAAAAACAGCACAAATGAAGCCAACAAAACGTCTTTATTTACTCATAAAGTTGTTGTTTTTCACATTAATGCAACAAAAAATGTCTGCAGTTAAAACATTGCAAACCAAGTTCATTTTAAGACAAACTCTCGAACAGTCCGAAGTCCAAGAAGAAAGAGTTTCTTGTGTTATTTTTGCGTGACAGGGAATGAATTCTGGTCCATTAACTCTCCGACTCTCTCCTGGAGGGTGTGAACCACCTCTGCCAGGATGAAGAGGTGTGTGTCGTCAAGGTCCTTGAGGATGAACTTCTTTCCCAGGGCCATCTTTTCATCCAGGTAGAGGAGGAACTGTTTCATTGCGGGGTCACTAGTCCAGTGAGAAAGAGAGAGAGAGTGTCACATTAATGTACCTGAACATCTGTATTTTCACCAGAATCTCTTGATCTAGATACAATAACAAGATAAAAGATTCACAGTTTTGCCTTACCACTCAACAAGGACTCCTTTGTGTACGTTGACCATGTTGACAGCTGCAGAGAAATCGGTAATCGATGCAAATACAAATGACCCAAAACCTGCAGCACAGTGAACAAGGATGTGTGTATCAACGGGTGAACTCAGTAAATCAGTCTAAATGGTTTGACATAAGCTAAAGTTACCCCAGAAAACATTAAAATAACATTAATGTCTGAAGAAGATCGACTGCGAGCTTTTTTGGATTTGAGCCTGGTTAGCTTGTTAGCGTTGGTGTAAAAACAGGCTACATTATTACAACTAATTATAACTAATAATTATTATAACTCCTGTTAAGTAACGTTAATGCGATTTTCCAGTTATTGAACACAAAGAGCTGCCGAGATATATTCGCGTATCCGGCTACATTCAAGCGAAAGATGTGACAGAGTTTCACCAACCTGACTGCTGCTGTTGTTTCCTGTGCTAACTCCTCAATGCAACCTACGGTGTGCACCGAGGGACAATCTAATGCGACACAAAATTGCGCATGTGGCATACCTTTTTATTTCTGTAGTTCCCCCTGCCTGGAGAAAGTTGTATACTTGAGTTTTAGTGTCCATTAGTAACATTAATTTCTAAGCAATGAAACTTATAATTTAGCTGTGAGTGATATCTGGATAAACTAAAATGTAATAATACCTGTGTTGTTATATTCCATGATGTTTTTGTTTTGTAACATCTATTGTGAAGCTGTTGATTAATGTCCAATATCACCATAAAACAGCTATATTCAATACACCCAAGATGTTTTAAAGGGATATATACCATAATACAGCAGCATCTCTGACTGTAGACAGATTGTTATTGTCTCCCAATATATAATATATATATATCATATTGCTTAACCCTATAAGAATGTACTGTGTTTATTAATATCATTTTGAGATATGCATTGCAATGCGGCTTTGCATTAAAAATGATGCAGCGCGTAGACAAGTCAAATAAAGCCTCCCAACTTCATTTATTCATCGCTAGTGGCAATTTGGACTACAAACACATGGAAATTAAAAAAAAAACCAATGGCTTGATATTAGTCCCACACAAATAAATAAAGCAACCTGAACTAATATTAATACAGGTCCATCTGAGGTACGGTTCAGGAAGGAATATGTGTCGGCAGACAGTGTGCCATACTGCAATTGGAATAAAATACACACATTATAAAAATAAAATCGTAAATCATTGCTCTGGCTGAAAATACTGAGGAGCAAGAGTGGCAATGACATGTCAGTGCATCTTTAAGTTAATATCGTATGACCATTATGTGCCACGTCAAACTGGTAAGTTTAAAATGAAATGGAAAAATAAAATATAGAATACATTTTCACAATCTGAGCTTAAATGTCTAAATTATCTTCTTTAAAACTTTAATTGATCTTTAAAATTCATCTGATCAATCTAAAAGGGATGAGTACACATTAAGCACCCAGGTTTCTTTCATCACAACTGACAACTCTTCACAGAAATCAATGTGTAAATACATTTAATTCCCCTAATTATAATCACATTAGTGGTTGTTTATGTAAATGTACAACAAGGAGAGGCAGTTATGTTTCCATTTGGCTTGGGGTGGGTGACAGTGCTCTTCCCCATTTCAAGTAAACAGTGGGTTGTATCAGTGTGTTGGTGCTCATATATTTCAGTCAGTGGCTGATGTAGCTCTGCAGTGCTTCCTGGATGAACTGGAGACTGCGTTGGTACAGAAATGAATCCTTCTTCTCTGGTTTGCAGATGTTTAGGTGATCTACATCCACCTCGATGAGATCCCCAATGCCGAGATCTGAAACCAAACCAGAGCTCGATGTAAGAGCTAAAGAAACAACATTACAGACACATAGCTGTCAAGGTCTATGTTATTTTTGCTGCATGCATTCATATTTAAGATGTGTCACAAATAGATGTCTTTGCCCCCCCCCCATGTGCATTAGTGTTACATACTTGCAGACTGTGCTGGTACCACCAGTATCTTGATCATGGGACCAATGTTTGTTGGCAGCGTCTCTGCAAAGCTCAGCACCTTGAACTCCTTTTCTTTGGCCATGTTCAGGAAGCTCTCATTGAGGTTGCGCAGTGCTGGCGAGTCTTAAAACACATGGACAACAACTCAGTAGAACAATGTCTCTGAAACACAAACAGTCTTGGATCTCTCTGGAATTAATTTCATTCACTTACCTTTACAGAGTTCTCTGACTTCTATAGAGGGAAAGAGGAGATATCTGACATTGACCGAGTACTCTGCCATAAAGGTGCCGTGGTGAGGAACACTATAGAACATAATGCCCTTGGTGTTCTTAAGCAGTCCGTGCATATCTGGGTCCTGTGAGGCATCCAGCAGCATTTTCTTCACAAGCAGTCCTGATGGAAAAACAGACACAGCGAGAGACACGTACAATCAAATGTAGACCAGGTGTGAAATAATACCAAATCATTTGTTTTCCGTGTTGCATTCAAGGGATTTGAGTGAAAATCTGACATGCTTGTGGAAGGAAAGTTCTGACAAAATACCTCCCATACTGTGGGCTACCCAGACCACAGGCCTCTCTCCAACTCCTGCTAGCTTTAACTTCTTTAGCAGCTCTTGACTTCTGTAGGCCAAGGACTTCCTGAAGAGACAGAAGCAAAGAATGAATCAACAGTTCACTCAAGAGTCTGTTGGAATTGAACATACATACATTTCGGGGGAATAACTATTGAATTTAATTAGGAATGGCAGCTTAATTAGATTTAAATAGTCATAATGTTGGATAAGTTGTGCAAAAAATTACTTTTAGTATGTAATAACTGTGTTAAGCAAAACAAACAACAAGAGAAAATATTTTCCCATACTTGCACAATGTATATGGGCATATGAAGACAGATTCCTCACCTCTGATTCTCAGCGGGGCACTTGGCCATCCAGTCACTGAGGTGACTGTCATACTCCACTGATAGTACTCTCAGATTTGGACAGTCATTAGCCAACCATGACTGTCAATAAAAGAACAACACAGAAGAACAACAGTGAGAGATGATTAATATTCCTCAACATTATTCTCATTGAGCAACCCAAACACTACGCAGTCTCCTCTATAGCCAGAAAGAACAATCCATAATTGCTGGTGATCCAGAATACTCTGCAGTAATTAAAAGGATGATGGAGGTGGATTTTTCACCTTTGGCCAGCACTCTGTGTAGTCGTCCTTGTTTTCTGCCTCCTTCTCTTCCTCTAACATAACTCGGTCCTTCTGCCTCCACGTCTTAAAAGCTGCCCCCAGAATCCCATGGATGAAGAGCACGTCCGCTTTGATTGGCTGGCTGTAACAAGGTTGTGAAAGATGAGTCTTGGTTTACATATAAAATAAAATGAAACTAATACATTGTTGACATGATGTAGCAATAGAATTAGTTGTTTTCCTACTTGCCACGTGTTTGCGGGTGGAGGATATAGACGCCGTCTTGGTATTTTTCTTTCACCGTCTCTCTATCCAGGTTAGCCAGAGCGCGGGCTGCATGAGACGCCTGCATGACATGAGGAGACTGCATCGTCTCAGCCAGGACAGATACCCAGCCTGAAGGGGTTTTATAGGTAATAAAAAAAAGGATTGGATACATTATAATCTGTTTTCGGTTTATAGATCTTGGACAAAGTATTAAAAACAGGAAAAAACAGAATAAAACAGCGTGTGAACAAGTAGGAATACTGTAAAGCATTCCTGGGTTGATCAACAGTTGAGGTGAAAACAACAACAACAACAACAACAACAACAATGTTGAATGAGAAAGTCTTTGTAATGGTGAACATTTTTAATAATCCTTAGTACGCCCAGTAAAGATTACACATGACCAGAACCCTCCATGGAACAATCAGATGAGTTGCAGACCTACCAGACTGGGCTATGGCCTGGTGAACGCTCTCATTGAGAGCCAAATTTCCTATGATACGAACAATGTTCCTCTGAATCTTCAGGGAGTCTCTGCGGAGCTGATAAACCCTCTGGAGGAGCTGCAGACCCCCATTGGCAACTATGTGGTCACAGTGGCTCTGGACCTGCAGACAAGACGTGTTTCTGTAAGTTTAGAACATTTATTCACATTACCTAGAAAACAAAATCAACGACAGTCTCACAGACTAACAAACTGTTTTGTTTGAAAATATGAAATCCAAAGAACAGTGTTTACAGTTAAAGTTAAGTTATCCTTTATAAATCCCCATAGGGAAATTAATTCTCTGCATTTGATCCATCCCAAGTACTAGGAGCAGTGGGCAGCCAGGGCATTGGTCAAGGGCACTGACTGGAGAATTAGCCAAACAAGGTTCTATAAATACTTGGATGCTGATCAGAGTACCTCTAACCATGAAACATGATAATGCACTGAATTAAATGAACTACAACAGAAGGTGCTTCAGCCATGATCAGTTTAATAAAAGAAAGTGGACAGACCAGATCATGTTTGGATGTCTAATGGACATCATTACCTTTGAGTGCTGTACCAGTGCCTGTAGACAGAAGGATTCCACCTTCTCAGAGGGAACAGAGGTAAGGCTCTGGGCGTAAGGCAGCCCATTGCCTCCAAAACACCACAGACCACCCTGCAAAATAAAAGAGCGTATGCATTAGTAGATTTTTTTGTCTTTCAAAGAAAGAGCTGCAAAAGAATCCATCTTTCCATCTCAATTACCCGTTGTGCTGCCAAGGACTGGGTGCTCTCTCTGAGGGCCAGTGAGGTGAAGTACTGAACACATTTGTCCACCTCAGACAGAGGGAGAGACCCCAGAAGCTGCCTCAGTCCATCCTCTGCAGACAAACCCTTTGAAAAATGTGTGTCAAATACCTGTTCTACCTCTTATATTGCCTAGTCCAACAAGACACAAATATGATTTCTTGACAAAACAGAAACTGTAGAGCCAATTATGTTTAGTACAGAAACAAAGCCAGTGGATGAGAGATACAGGGATACTTACATCTTCCAGGTCAGGCAGTGCAGGTGAACGCAGGAAGAATCGAAGGTCTACCTGAGGAGTCCGGGCCAGGCCCACTGCTGTTCGCTGGTCTATAACTTGGGCTGCTGTCTGGTACTGGTAGTCTATGTGATTGTTAACAGGTGTGAATTAATCCCACTTCACTTTATATACTGTAAACCTGAAGTGATCTGCAAGAATGTTTTACTTTACCATGCCAGTGGTGATTTTCTGCGAGCTCCTGTATAGCCTGTAGTCTGATGGCTTTATTGGCTGACTGTGTCCTCTTCAGTAAAACCCATAATGCCACCTCATGTGGGTCTGCATCCACATGGCTGAAATGCTCTAATACATACAAATAGAGAACAAACTGACTGGCTGTACATTTTAAAGAACAAAGTGGATAAAGGATGCTAAAAATATATCACTAAGGACACTGTGGACTACTGTGACTAACTACCAGTATCTACAGTACTGCTTTCAGATTATTAAAACAGCCACGAAGTTACAAACCTTTTGATTTCAAACCATGTGTCATCGACTTGGCAGCTATTAATTTTGAAGCCAAAAGTCAGTTTATTAGATGTTTTACTGGACTATAATTTCACATCTCATCTTAATCTTAATTAATTATGAGTAATTAATACAGAGTTAATATAAGGTGACAAAAACAACGTGTAATACAGCCAATTGCACAGTATACACATAATGTCCAAACTATGTGACATTCAAAACAGGATGTGCATGTACAAAGCAGGTGTTTCCTTTGGCCGATGGTAGTTTTCTGATAATAAATATTTGTGCTTCTATCAGCAACAGCATCTGCTTTACAATCTTAAAAATACGAGGGGCAGTACTACAGTGTCACACTGTGCACTTGGCAACTGGTCCAGTATAATGAACTTTTGGTGTCTTACCATCTAGAGATCGCAGCAACAGCCTAGATGATATTTCCAGAAACCTCCTTGCAGCTTTATGAAGTTCCCTCCTTGCTTTGTTTGTGAGTCCTGTCAAAGATACACAGTGTAAAAAAAAATAGACTATAAACTACTACAATGACCTAGAAGATCTGAATTTAATTTCTATAAAACCACTACTAAAATTACAGAAGCCATTGAGTAATGGTTGCCAATTGGTATCTCATCATAGGTTGTTAGGGGGATCGTTTCCATTAAATAAGTGAACCTTGACCAGTGGAAGTGAGATCAGTTAACAGACTGACCCACATGTGGAGGCAGGAAAGATAGTAAAAGGAGGGAAGGAAGGGAAGGCAGGAAATAATTACAACAGATGTCACTGGGCACCTGGACATGGCAAACTCCCTATGACTTTGTGTTCATACAAGAACTAAATAAAGCCATTCAGCATATTTTCCAGATGTCATCCAGCTGGTTTGGGGCAGGGCACAAAATTAGCACCAGCCACCAGAGAAATGCTGGTACAGTATGCAGATTGTCTTCATTCACCAGCCAAAAACAACAACGGTAATATACTGAGTGGCTGGTAAAATTAGAACATTCACTAAGCATTTAGCTGGTGGGATAATAAGTTAACTGTGTCCAAAAATAATACATACGTAAGAAAAATGGTCCTATTCCTTTCAGTTTTTTAAGAAAGGGACACATGGTGATGTCCCACTCTGGCCCAAGTGAATGACATTCAGTACCTGCAGTAAGGTTCTCCTTTTCATCTGAGGGAGTGGCTCTCAGGTAGATGTACGACTTGTACTTCTCCTGAAGAATAGCACGAGTGTCAATGGTCACAGCCTTGTCCAAGGCCTTCACTTCATAAGCGATAAAGAGATAACCCCTGTACAAAGATCGTGGATGAGCTGTGGTGTGCGGTGATCAACTTTGGCCATTGAAGTCAAGGATTAAAACCACTGTAGCTTACCCGAACACAACTGCACCAGTGACTTTCGCAACCTTCCCTGGATGTCAGCAGAAAATGAATCCATGTTAGATAAGTGTGTGCTGTTCTCACGAAAAGCATAAAAAGGTTAAATCCATGTATTTAGAGGAATTAGGTCCGTGAGACAGCTGACAAAAAGCGGTGTGCGCGTTGGCCGATTACGTCCAATAACTTACTTAAATCTTTCCACGGAAGCGCCTTCCTCACCCCAGGTGACCCCGCCGTGCTCAGCCTCCGACAGCGGATCCAACGCAGCGCTGCGACAGACATCCTCCGCCTGTATAACCCCCAGAATACCAACGGGGCTGAGTGAATCACAACACCGGAGAATAATACAGCCTCTTAATACAGCTGAGGCCTCTCTCACACTACAACCCTGCATATGAGCCGGACGTGTGTAACTTATGTAATTTACAATCCTCTAAAAGACCCTAAACCGACGGTGAGTGGTAACCCCGTTAATTCAGCTTTATGTTACACTAACGTAAGCTCCCGGTGACTCTCGTACGTTAACGTAAACACTCCCGTTACACCGTAACAACGACAGCTAGAGCTAAATGAACCCCCAGCTAACACACAGTCCCTTCAGGCTAACGTGGGTCTTTTACGGGTTTTACCAGCTCGGTAACTTTAACACATCCGGCTGACTGGTTATTAAGTTGTTGAACAGTGACATTACCTTATTTATCGGCTAATAAGTTCTTAAAAGGACTTAATTACCGTAATGTTCTCCACTGCTGCAGCGCCCGGTGTTCATAAACACAACGTGTCTCACAAATAATACGTCATCTACCGTTACCAACGCGACCGGGGGAAAAAAACAACAACAACAACAACATTTCTATAAAACAGAAAGTCAACAGCTGTACAATGTGTGATTATTACAGAAAGAAAACACACTTTTCTACCGGGGGAAATTAAATTCTTAACATTAATATGATTTTAAATATCTTCACTATTTTCACTATTATTGTTTGTTTTTGTTTTTTTTCCCCCCGACTATTATTAATATTTAAATTCTTACTTATTTAATAATCTGTTTATTGAATAGTTTTGGGGAGTGATTGCTTACTGTGCCTAACCTTCTCTTGGGCGGATCTCCTTCTTCTACAGTCAGTGGATTTTATTGTAGTGGCTGTTGAAATGTTTCTATGTTATGTTGTACCAACCCTTTTAAATTCAATAAAAACTTGAATTACAAAAAAAAAGAAGAAAGAAACACCTGCAGTCGTAATGCAAAAGTCCTATAATAAATACAAACTATCATTAAGACCGTAATGTTCACAGAAAGAGGTGTTGATGCTGGTAATCATTGACATCTACAGTCAATGGTAGTTGACCACCAACATGACATACAGTATTGTCCACTGACACCACAATCTCAAAATATGATCAACGTTTGTCAAACAGTAAACAAAAATGGAAGTTCTCTAATGTAGTATTTATTCAGATGACTACTGTATTAGGTTGCTATATTTTATTCATGTTATTATGTCCATATGTTGTGTTGCCTTACACAAACACCCTAAAGACCACAAGCTTTGTATGGAAAACTCAGTTGTCATGCTTTGTTATTCTTGCTTTTATTGCATTAACTTATGAGAAAAGTTCAGTAAATTACATTAAAATATAAAATACAAAAACTTCACAATGCCCACGTTTCGGTCTCCTTCTCTCTCATTCACACATACTGTACATGTAAATACACAGACAGACACACTTAATTACTTAAAATGCCAGACACACCCACAATACCACAGCTCTGTAAAAAAAAAATAACGTGTGAGGCAGCAATAAAAACATCAAATGAGTTTAAAGCTTTTTCCACCAGGTTTTGCATTGATGCATCACTGACAAACATCTACAGTTTATTAATCACAGGCTAACACACAAACACTCGCCCTCCTTTGGGGTGCACATACACAATCATTCTCTCTTTTGCATAGTTATTAGGTGATCAGCAAAGGAGAAGTCTTCCTTTGAAGCATAAATGCCCAGTCATCAGTATTTATTTGTAGATTTTTGTCTAAATTAAACAAAGATTCTGTGCAAGCATACATGATTGTCGATCACCACTAAATACAGACTGTTAATGTTTAAAGAAGGATTTCTGTTCATAAGCAGTCATTGCCATATTGCTGAGAGTGTCAAATGATCTTTTAATTTTACATCAGTATTAAATGATGAAAGGCAAGTATGCTTTTGTCACCCCGAGATATATATATGTTAACAAACCAAAAGACTGACTCTTGAAACTGACTGTTGTTGTTATTGTGCTGAGGAATGCCCACAGTTGACCTTGATGTCCTTGTTTGCTCCACTCAGCTCCACCTGGTCATATAAATCACTACAGATTTAGTCCAATATCATTTGTAAATCCATTTACAACTCTGGGCTCATTTAGTTACAGTCAGCCTCGTGCTGTCACTCCTCAGGTGCATGTTTCCTGATAAGCTCTAATAATGCTCTCATAAGCTGGAGGTGGGGTCTGTGTAGCATGGATACCCCTCAGGCCATTGTTACCCCAAAATGACTCGGGTCTGGGTGGGGTGGCAGCTTGCTGGGCTGCTGTTTGAGCTGATCCAGTTGACGCGGTCAAAGTCGGTGTACGAGGCAGCGTGGTCTGGCTCCCCTCCTCTGCCTCCCTCGCAATTTGGCTGCACTGGAGGAGAGGGTGGAAGGTGGAGGCCCTGAAGCTGGATTTGTGCCCCAGTGGGTCGAGGTGGTCTGGGGAGGAAGTCTGGCGGTGGAAGCTTAAGGCAGCACTGACCAAACTGTTGTTGCTGCGCCGGTCGTAGCTGCTGTTGCGATTAAAGCCCGGACGGTTACGGGAAGACGTGCGTGATTGGCGAGGAGGACGGCGGGTGATGCTGGCAGAGCCCGCTCTCCGTCGGGACATCCAGGTCAAGATCACGTAAACCACAGCCCCCAAGACCAGGCCCACCGCCATGGACACACAGAAAGCTATGATCAGAGGGACTGTGGAGAGAGAAACACATTTTAAAAAGGATATTTTATGATCTTTGCTTCAGTATGTATTTCTGATGGATCCTTCACAAACATTGTTTTTTATCTCTTCTATCAACTTATTTACTCTTCAGGTTCAGTGTGCGGGGTTTAATAATATTTATGTTCATGCAATACATCTAAATGCACTTTATCCTTAATAACATTTTTTTCTTAGTGTCTTTTTTTATCATCCCCCTGGGAATGGAAGGAATTTTAATTAGAATATATGCCCTTACAAAGATTACGAAAAACATCTGTTTGTAACAAATGGAGGATTGCCAACAGTGTCTTGCAAGATGGTGCCCCTTGACAAAATAATAACAGGCTTTCTTCTTTCATGTTTAACCAGAGGTTTTTTTTTTTTGAAGACAACAAACTGATTCCATTTTATTCCCACATAAAAATGCACTAACTTTTGCTTATTGCTTGTTTGCTTTGAAGGCGGTTGTGCCAACATAAGCGTGCTTGAGAGCAGAGAGAGAATGCAGAGGCTAAGACAAATCCCGTTGGACTGCTGCCAGGGAAAACAAATCAATTTCCTTTCAATACAGTTAAGTGTTAAAAAGACTGAATCAACTTTGCTTGCAGCCCATATTTCCACAGCAGTTTTCTTCCTCTAACTTTGGGAAAAGGGAAATGAGACACTGGTCTAAAGTCATCTGGAAATTACATTTGGGAAAACTGAGGAGAAAAAAAAAAAACTCAAAGAAAACATGTCAGTACCTTATAGATTTGGAGTGAGTGTTCACAAAAATTGCGAAAGGTTTCTTTGAATATTCTCCTAAGCTGGATAAAGTAATCTCCAAAAGGAATCAGGACCACATATTGTATCTATTCCAGAGGCGATTAAAGCCCAAATTCCTGAGAGAACAACGGTGCCAATCAGAGAGACCACATGAAAAAGAGAGCTAAAAGAGAAGGGAAGTTAGAAACAACTCACCAGCATCAAAAGACTGAAGTATTTCCAGAAATAAATTTGTGTTATTCTCAGCCATGACTTTGTCCTGTCAGAGGAGAAGACAGACTGAGACTCAGTTCAGTCTGTCTTTTACTCTCTTCTTCTCCCTTCTACTCTTTTTCTGTCAATTCTTGTCTGTCTCTCTTTTCTTTCTGATGGCTTTTCCTGTGTTTCTGCCTCCCCTCTTTCCTGTTCTCTCACTTTCTCCCTCTCTCGTCCTTTGCTAACTTTCTCTGTCAGTATGTCTGTCTCTCTCAGAGGGAGACTCAGCCCAGAGGCACACAGGACTGACTGGCGGCTAACTCTGGCAGCCGTCTTGTTTATGGAAGCGGAAAACTACACTGTCACATTTCCTGCTTTTCTGCTTGAAATTAGCAACAGGAGTGGCTTATCTATCCAGGACAGAGATCCTGGTGGTAGGGAGACGGGGTGTTGCTATAATCACTTCCTCCCCCATCATTTCCTTCAGGTTGATTAATGTGGAACAGTGTTGGGCCAGCACCGTAAGAATCAGTACTTCAGCTGTTACCATAGGAAAGTCCACCACACTCACCAATATTTTTGTTCCTTTCAGAAATTATAAATATTTAAATCTGTCATATTTTTTTCCCTTCCACCACAGAGACCACAGGCGACAGTATTGCCATAAGCTGCACCAGCAGTTACAGCCTTGGGCCTGAGATTGGTGTTGAAGGCAAAACCACAGCAGAAATTGATGGGTGGCAATACTGTAAGTGCTTTTAATACTCAATTGTAATGATGCAAAAAAAACATTATACTACTCCGTTGCAGATATCCACATGCTCACAGCACGTTAAGCATGTGGATATCTGCCTGTTCTGGTTTCCAGCATCTTTGTTAGTAAGCTCAGTCTTTCCACAGTGTCTGCCAGGTCAGCGGTGCCTGCATTGGACGTCTGGTCCTTTCCAGTAAAAGCATGGTAGTTTGATAAGACATAAAAAGCAGAACAGCTGCTCTTTCAGTGCAGTTCAGTTTTTGTTTTGTTTGTTTTTTTTTACTTTTTCAGTTGTTTTTTTTTCTACGCGTGACAAATCAGGATACAGTGAATGAAAATGAAGCTCATTGTGTTACTCATTCTTGATCACACAGTCAGCATTGTTTTAATCCACTTCTAAGCCCAAATCTGCAAGGTCATCAATACAGTCACAACGAAGGATGCAAGTAGTCATATTGGTATGCATCTAATGTAGACCAGCCCATTCGCCCCATCAGCTTTCAATTTTAGGTAGCTCTCCTTTACTTTATATTCAACAATAATCAAGTCAACCTGTTAAACCTGACCAGTATGATTAAACATTATAAGACTTTCAGGCCGAATCTTTGTAAGTGTATTATACTAAGAAGTTGACAACCTTCAGCCATCTCACTGGCAAAGAGAGTGAGAGCGAGAGAGAATAGTCCAACTAAAGCTTGAACTTCCTTTAATTGTTGGCTCTGTTGTAAAACCTGTCCAGAATAACCAAGCAGTAAAACAGTGCGTGTGGCCATTGTGTTCTTTAATTGGAGCGTAGTGGGCCATTCTGCTCATAGGTGGAGGAGACATTCTTTGAGCTATACAGCTTAAGTTCATGGCTTTGTCAAAATGTCATTGGGCAGTGTGATGGGAAATTACTGTGTATAATGCAGGTTATTACAGGATATACTGTGTTATTGCTGTGTTGTACAAAAGATACCTACACAAATAAATAATCACTTTTATCAATCTGTCAATCTGGGATAGCACTTAATGTATAAACTAAGATGTTATAGGAGGGAAAAGGAGTAAGTGATTTGTTATGGTATGTTTTTTTCTCCATATAAATGAATACCCCTCTGGTCTGGTAATATTTGGATGTAAAGAGGCTGAATTGGTTTGAAAATCCCAACCACCAGGGAGTGATAGTCTTCACTATGTGTTCCTTCTGTTCCCAACTTGACCAGTAGATGGAGTTATACTCCAGGATAACTTCACCACACGTCTCATCACGCCTCAGAGAGCAGGTCCAACCCCCAACCTGTCCATTAAATATGCAGAATAGTCGGTTTAAAATCATCCAAATGTAAAAGATTTCCACAGAAATGTAGGAGCTAAGGTAACATCTCATATTTAACATGCAAACTGCTGTTCTTACCGTGTAATACAGTGTGTTTGCTGGTCCATGTTTACTGATTATTATATTGCATACACACACTGCATCATCCTCCACAGATTTTTTAGCAGAAAACTCATCGGACAGTTTTTATCAATGACGAATGGTTTCTTAACTGGACATAAAGCAGTGATTCTATATAGTTTTTTTTGCAAAATATTATGGCTTTTTGTCATAGAAGACAATATAAAGGGGCTGCAAGTTAAATCCACATCTTTCTGATTTCTTATGACTTTTGTATACATTGGCCTCAAACATCAGTATAACCTATTTAACATCATTTGTAACTGTAACGATTTGTTCCCTTTGTTCAAGGAAAAATCGGAGTCACTATAGATCAAATCGCAGACAGCTTTGCAGTGCCTAAAATAGAGTTGTAGAACTGTATTTCTCTCTTCCACATTATGTAGATTTTGACATGCAGGTTGCCAACAAACTTTCTAATGAGATTTTAGAAAACTGCTGACTATGCACGAAAGAGATTACCACACTGGCGGTCTTGGTCCCAGCTCTCTGCCTGTGCAATGATTAGATAAGAAAACGGATCTTAACGGGGCGAAAGGGTTTGGCTACTATAGGAAGATTTCCTATTGACTCCTGTGCTTTGTCTAGTGCTCTCTGCTCCCCTCTGCTGCAGCAGTGTACGCTCTCTCTTTTGCTGAATCTGTTTGGTCCCGAGAGGCTCTGGACGATAGAGGTCACCTCGAGCCGAGCTGTGTAAAAAATGTAGGAATCAGCAGTCCGTCCCTGCTGCAGAGGAGCCGGCCGATCCAACTAAATCCCACAATGTATTATATTACACTGGCAAGTCAAACAGCTGGTTCTGACATGGTAACTACAAACCGGTTAGATTCATATGTGCATTTATAAAGGTATAGAGCTGATTTAGCTGTTACTGAATGGGCTGAGGTTAAACTACCAAGGTAACTGATTTGCTCCTGACATTGCTATTACAGTTGCTATTGGTTAGGTATGCAATTTGGATTGATTATATGTATTATTGCCCTGTATATAGCATTTTTTAGTCATCTTTAGTGACAATATGGAGAAACTTGGTTATAGAATTCATACAGTGGTGAGCTTTTCTAATAGTACCCTAAAAACACACTTGCCTGCTTTTGAGCATGAGAGTTTTTTACATTCAGCACTTCATAAATCTAAATAATTACTCCTCCCCTCACATAATTGTGGCAATGAGTGTTTTTTTCCCCAGTAAACATCATGTTTACTCAGTCACTGTAGACAAACAGTACACAGCAGAGCTTCAAAAAGGGAGCCTAGATGATGCAGAAATCTAGAAATCTGGACTCACAACTAGATTGTGGAGGACTCTTGTGTTGTCCTGGCGATTCACATTCATAAAATCACCCTCGTTCACCCACATTCACCAGTGCCACCAGCTTATTTACATAAAGCCATTCCATAAATTAATCTCAGAAGCAGATTGCACAACACTGTCATCAGAACAGATTAAATTCAGCAAGCACCACATGTGTGCATTTAGTCAGTGTCACTCATATATCAAAATTGAGCTGAGGATCAATGAAATCAATCAATTCATCATTTTACAGCTTTTATATTTTTCATGCCCACTCTTCTATCTCTCACTTTATTGAATGAGGCTTTGGCCAGAGCAGTGTAGCTCCCCTTTCAGCTCATGTAAGAGCTCTCCTGAGATGATGATGAAAGGACTTGTCTAATGGGATTACACATCGCGATAAGTGCTCAGAGCCTAGTGGTTCATTACACCTCCCTCCTGCATTTCAAAAGGAGGCATTGATCCGCTGTGCAGTAGCATATCTTGGACATAAAGTTTTTGGGGAGATGTTTTATTAGCAGGAGTGTGTCTTGATGGATTGTTGTCACTGATTGTCTTTCCTGCTGCACAATCAGCACGTGTCTTCACATTTTATTTTAACAGAGAAATCTACTTGTGTATAAAATTCACATTGGTTGTCCATATTTTGATTTGTGAAGCGGAACAAATCCCTCTTGAACCCGAGCAGCAGTAGGGCAGACTGAAATGATGATGTCATGAGATAAATCCTGGAGCTGCTCAATAAGCAGTAAATAATAGAGCAACCCGTAGTACATTATGAGAGCATGTATGGTGATTTCTCTTCTCTCTATGTTTACTTAGTACTTAATTATCATCAGTTTAGTACATTAATTATGTCATTATTGGGTTCCTCACCCCAAATTCAGCGTATTTTACAGTTCTAATACTTAAAATTATAAAAAAAAGAGGAAAAATATTGCATCTCAGAGAAGCCTGATAAGCATTTACATTAATTACATTAATAATATTAATCCATCAAGATAAATATATTATGTGTACTTAGATATATATATACTGTACATATTTATGCATGTATACATAGTAACTACACCTACAATGTTTTAGGCTGAATTTTACCTTTAATAAAGATGGATGGAGGCTTTTTTTCTAAATTCAAATAAATAAATAAAAATGTGTTGTTGTCGTCATAGGGGAGGTTTGCTGCAGCTAATTCTGATACATCTTCTTCCCTCGTCACACTGACACTTTCTCTCCCACACTCACAAATACAACACACACACACACACACACACACACACACACACACACACACACACACACTCTTACAGTGGAACCAGTAGGCGTGAGAAGATACCTGACACGCAATTGGTCCTGATGTGTCAATGAGAGGGAAGAGCCATCCCTTTTGATTGGACAGCAGGTGGCAGTGCATGCAGACCAGGAAGCTGTCTTGTCTGCAGAAGTAAAAGGCTCAGGCGAGACGTGCATACACATACACTATACACATACAGTATGCGCTTACATCATCATTTTCAGGGGAGGAGCTTCAGTGAGTGTGAAGATTGCAGACTGCTACTGCAACAGGGATGACTTGAAAAGAGAAACACAGCAACATGGACATGCTTCACTGGTAACAGCCTGCAGTCAGTGTGAAAACAAAACTACTGCAGCCCAATCTGAATCCTGATCACAGCATGAGAGCATTGCCAGGGTGACGCACAGGAGTTGGGACGTGACTTTGGTGACCTGAGGACAGCGGCATGGCATCACCCAGGCACTATGGGCACACTTCTCGGGATATTGCCAATGTGATGCAGAAGCTGCAAGGTAGGTGCAAAATGCTTACTCACACTGCTCCACCTTGGTTTGCAGCGTTTTTAGAGGTGACCTAGTGTTCGACATG